GCTGCCTCCTGCACACCCCCGACTGGGGATAGAGCCCGCAACTCAGGCATGTGCCCTGACTGGGAATTGAACCGTGATCTCCTGGATCCTAGGTCAATGCTCAACTGCTGAGCCATGGTTGCCCAGGCTGATCTCTGTTTTATTTATTTATTTTTTTAAATATATCTATATTGATTTCAGAGAGAGGAAAAGAGAGGGAGAGAGAAAGACATAGAAATATCAATGATGAGAGAGCCATTGATTGAGCCCTGACTGGGAATCGAACCCCGATCACCTGGATCCTAGGTCGACGCTCAACCGCTGAGCCATGCCTGGCCGGGCTGATCTCTGTTTTAATTGTACAGTGGCACAGGTAGGGAAAGAAGAAACAAAAAAATAAACAAAGAAAAGTAACCCAATGTATGTGCGCTGTTTGTAACACATGATGAAAACTCTTGTCTAGAAAAATCTTCCATCCTTATTTTTTCTATAGACATCAATAGAAGAACACCCCTAATAGAAACACAATACCCTCTAGGCTGAAAAATACAGTAATGGCCACATTAATGATATTTTGGACAACCATGGACTACCTATATGGGGAGGTGCCATAAGATTATAAGGCAGCTGAAAACTTCCTATCTCCTAGTGATGTCATAGCACAATGTATAACACAAACACCACTGTGTTACAGTTGCTTACAGTATTTAGTACAGTAACATGCTGTACAGGTTTGTAGCCTAGGAGCAATAGACTGTAGCACATAGCCTAAGTGTGTAGTAGGCTATACACCATGTATGTTTGTGTAAGTGCACCCTATGATGTTCACACCATGATGAAATCACCTAATGACCCATTTTTCATTATGTATCCCTGTCGTTAAGCAGTGTGTGACTGTGCAAGAAAGAGATTCTAAAATTCAAGACCCATACTACTTGGCTGTCTTCAACACTGTACTAAATGTTGGGGCCATCCCATGGCGATAAGGGCTTTAAATTGGGGGGAATTTGTTTTGTTTTGTGGGATCTGTGTGATGGCTGGGTGGAAAGTGAAATATCCAAGGGAATATACGCCAATAGGTATCTGTGGCATGGATGGATGGATGGATGGATGGATGGATGGATGGATGGATGGATGGATGGATAAAAGAAACTGCATGGGCTAACCTTTCATATGTTACAACAGTTGCCATATATTTGTAATGCATTAAAAGGGTTTTTCTTTTAACCAACAATAACTGACCCTCTTGGACAAGAACACATGTCCATTAGTTTTAGATATTTTAGGACTACACACTATTCTGTTGCAGCACGACTTTTTGCTTTTTTTTAAATATATCTTTATTGATCTCAGAGACAGGAAAGGAGAGCGACAGAAATATCACTGATGCGGCATGTGCCCTGACCGGGAATCGAACCCCGGTCGCCTGGATCCTAGGTCGACGCTCAACCGCTGAGCCACGCGCGGCCGGCACGACGTCTTGCTCTTAGAGCCATTTACAAACATACTGCATTATTTTTATTATTATTAATATTATTATTATTATTGCCACTGGTCTCATATTTATTTTTTCAAGTTTAACAAAAGAAGGGGAAAAAAAATTCAAATTCGAGTTTCTTCAGAAGAATTTTATTAGTTTACATATGGTGTGTCAACCCTTGACTTTTCCTGTCTTACTTTGACACAGAAACCCATTTATTCGTATTCTTCGTCGCCCCATATTTCATATATTGTAACATTGTTCTGTGGGTCTGAAGGCATCTCGAAGGCCTGCGCCTTGTTGTTACTGCCAGTTGCCATGGCGATTTTCAGATTCCGCACCTTGGACACAAACTGCACGAGGTCCATCTCAAGTTGGTTTAAGGTATTGAAAGCATAGTCTTTGCTGGGGGAAGCACACTGGTTTTTCTTCAGTGGAGCAGGAACAGAAGAACCTCGAAGGCCAGGAGGATTCTTTTCCTTACTCTTCTCACGATTTCTTCGAAACTTCAGAATCACATACACCACAACACCAAACAGGAACCAGAGCCATTTGCTGGCTAGCCAGCTTTGGGCGTGCTCCGGTAGATTCTGCCTAATCCGGAAGTGCCCTCCGCAAGGCACCTTTCTCGGGGATTCTTTCACGTTTTCTCTCAGAGAAGAAAACAAAAAGGCATACACACACGATAGGCACACAGGCAAGAACACGATCCATTTCACAGTCCACATGGTGAGCAGAGATGGCGGAGGAAACTGCTCATGGAGGTTCTGTCTGCCCTCGCGCTTTGAGACTGAGTGCCGAGGCCGAGTCATCATTGATGTCACAGAGGCCCAAGCCAGGAGTGGCTCTGGCCATTGTGATGATGGCAGGGGGAGGAGAGTGAGGCTGACAGTGCTCCAGGAGGAGGACTTAAAGGGAGATGGAGACATTTCCAGCAGGCAATAAAAAAGAGAAGACGGGATGATGGATTTCCATGTCCTTGCTAGTCTTTCTGACCCTCCTGGTGCCCTGTTGGCCAGGCCTGCAATTATTTGTTTTTATTCTTTTTAAAAATTTCTCTTTATTGTTGAAAGTATTACAAATGTTCCCCTTTTCCCCCATTGATACCCTCTATGCTGCACCCCTCCCCCCAGGCCTTCACCACACTATTGTCTGGGTCCATAGGTTATGCATATATGCATGTAAATTCTTAGGATAATCTCTACCCACCCACCTCTGCATTCCCTCTGACATTCCTCAGACTGTTCCATGCTTCTGTGTCTCTGGATCTATTTTGTTCATAAGTTTATTTTGTTCATTAGATTCCATATATGAGTAAGATCATGTGGTACTTGCCTTTCTCTTAGCATAATACTGGCTTATTTCACTTAGCATAATACTCTCCAGGTCCCACCATGCTGTCTCAAAGGATAAGGCAGCCTTCTTTTTTACTGCTGCATAGTATTCCACGGTATAAATGTCCAAAAGGATGCTTGATATGATTTCATTATTCTTGAACATGTAGAGACTTGTTTTCTGTCCTAACATGTGGCCTATCTTTGAGAATGTTCCATGTGCACTTGAGGAGAATGCATATTCTGTAGCTTTGGAGTGGAATGTTCTGTAAATGTCAGTTAAATCCATCTGATCTAGTGTGTCATTTAGAATCACTGTTTCCTTGTTGATTTTTTGTCTGGAAGATCTATCCAGTAAAGTCAATGGGGTGTTAAAAGTCCCCTACTATGATTGTATTGCTGTCAATCTCTCCTTTAACGTCCTCCAGAAGGTGTTTTTATTTTCAGCCTGTGTAAGTCTTTTGTTCTGAGGTGGGTCTCTTGTAGACAGCATATATCTGGGTCTTGTTTTCTAATCCATTCAGCTACCCTATGTCCTTGGATTGGAGCACTTAATCCATTTATATTTAAGGTTATTGTTGACAGGTACTTATCTATTACCATTTTATTTCTTTATGCTTATGTTTCTCGTTCTCTCTATTTCAACTTCTTATTACAGCAGTCCCTTTAACATTTCTTACAATGCTGGTTTGGTGGTGATAAACTCATTTAGGCTTTTTTGTCTGGGAAGCTCTTTATTTCACCATCTATTTGGATGATAGCCTTGCTGGATTGGGTAGTCTTGCTTTCAGATCCTTGTTTTGCATTACCTTGAATACTTCATGCCATTTCCTTTTGGTCTGTAGAGTTTCTGATGAGAAATCAGCTGACAGCCTTATGGAAGCTCCTTTGTACGTAACAGATTGCTATTCTCTTGCTGCTTTTAGGATTCTCTTTCTCTTGAATTTTTGGCATTTTAATTATGATGTGTCTGGGCGTGGGCCTCTTTGAGTTCTTTTTGCATGGGACTCTCTGTGCCTCCTGAATTTGTGTGACTTTTCCCTTTACCAGGTTAAGGAAGTTTTCTGCCATTATTTCTTCAAACAGGTTCTCTAGCCTTTGCTTACTTTCTACATCTTCTAGTTTTCCTATGATGCGAATATTGTTATGTTTCATGTTGTCCCACAGCTCCCTTAAACTGTCCTCTTGTTTTTTAATTTTTTTCTTGTTTTTGGATCTCTGATTGAGTGTTTTTCTTCCCTGTCTTCTAATTCGCTGAGCCAATCCTCAGCTTCCCCTAATCTACTGTTTATTCCTTCCAATGTTTTTTCTTATTTCTACTATGTCATTCTTATTTCCTTCATAGTTTCCATTTGTTTTCTCATGCTGTTGAGCATCCTTATGATCAGTTTTCTGACCTCTATATCTGATAGATTGCTTATCTCCATTTCATTTAGCTCTTCTTCTGGATAATTCTTTTGTTCTTTCATTTGTGGCTTGGTTTTTTGTTTGTTTGTTTTTTGTCTCCCCATTTTGGCTGCCTGTTTGGATTTGTTTCTATGTATTAAGTGGATCTGCTAGGACTCCCAGTCTTCTGGATTTTCTCAGGTGCAGGCCAATGTCAGACAATGTTTGTGACTGGCCTTGGGTATCCTGTTTGACGTTTTCAGCATTCTGCAGCTTGTCGTTCCCTCTGCTGGGACTGGGTGTGTTTGGACAGGACCAAGATGCATACCAAGGTCTGCTTTTCCAAGCACAGACTCTATTTGGTCTCCACTTTTCATCCTTTGTTATGAGACTGCTCTCCAGCTAGTCCTCAGTTGCAGTTGATTATTCAGGGTGTTTTTGTCTATATTTTAGTTGTAATTCCAGTTTGGTCCTGGAAGAGAGTCAGTGTAGTTTCCACTCAATCTGTCACCATCTTGCAATCTCTCAACATACTACATTATTAACCCCAGTACATTAGCTCTGCCTCCCCCACCACATTTTATCTACATGACCCTAAAACATGCAGAAGGTTTGCCAAGGCATGCTTATCAATGTGAATTCATGGGCATGGACAACTCCAAGATGAAGACCTCCTGCTCACCCCACAACTGGATGCTTCAAACCACCCTAATAGGTGCTCTCTGAGTAGGAGGCAGGACTGGGGATCTAAGCAGCACAATGGATTACATCAATAGACCTAAATCTGTGTACTTCCTTATCATCTCCATGTCCACACTCTGTTCCACAGCCAATTTTTGGTGCATCAGAGTTTGCTGTAAACTGCTTTTCTGAGCAGCTCTAGAACTTTGTGGATATGCTAAGGAGACAAAGTGGATTGTCTTCCCCACCTACTTCATAGCCTCTGGTATTTTCCCAGTTAAAGCACTCACTGCCTTATCTTTATCAAAGCAAGCATTGCACTGGATTGTAATCACTTCTTTAAACTCCATCTTTCTCTCTAGAAGAAGTACTCTGGAAGGGGGGAGGGATCATTTGTGCTTTGTTGATTACCACTCTATCCCCCAAACCTTGCAAGGTGCATGATGTGTAAGTTCAATAATATTTGTTAACTAAATGAGTGAAAAGATGTCCCTCTTTTAGGGTGACCAACTCTCCTGGACTGGGGGCTTCCAGGACCTCAGACTTTCTGTGCTCAACTGGCAACAGTCCCAGGCAAACCAGGATTGTTAAATGGCTTATGCTCTCTGTTTCCAGCTTGCAGACCCACTCCTCCTAGGAGTTCCCAACTCTGCCAAACCTATATGTACAGCTGCTCACCTTACCCATCAGCTGAAAGAAGGGGGCAACCTTCTAAGATGACAACTCTTTGTGCCCCATTTCTGCCCAATGACAAATGTCTACCTTAGCTGTACTGCCTGATCAGCTTCTTTATGAGAGATAATAATAGTTTATTTCCCAGATTCAGAAAATGGGAAGGTGTCAGAATGATCAGGAATGATGCCCCAATTTAAGCTGCGTCCCTGAGTCTACTCAAAGGTGGGCATGGTGCCAGGTACATGGGCACTCCAAGTGAGAAATGGCTCCTCTCCTAGCTGCCTTCAAACCCAACCTGAGACCCACCTTCCAATCTCTTTGCTAAGCTATCTTGATATGACTGGCCAAGGCCCAGCTCACCTCCCTTTCATCTAGCTCAGGGTCAAAGGAGGTGAGGTAATGAAGCCACCTCTTTCCCACAACACAATCCTGTCCTTTAGGATATGGCACGCTTGCTTATGTGATGGTGAATGGATTTTGCCACCAGTTTGGAATAAGTTCACCCAGGGGCACACCATTCCTGCTTATTTCTCTGATGCTCTTCTATAGACTATCTAGAAATATAAGTTAAAAATGAAGGCAAGGGGGAAACCGGAAACAACCCAAATGTCCATCACTAATACATAAACTGTGCTATATTCTCATAATGAAATATTACAGAGCAATAACAGAATGAATTACTGAGACATGCAACCTTGATGAGTTTCACATTGAGTGAAAGAAAACAGACACCAAAGGACTTTATATAAAGTTCAAAAACAGGTGATGATTTTCAAAAACTGTTAGAAGGCCAGATAGTGGTTACCTTGAGGGCAGGAGAGGGGTGTTATATTGATTGGGAAGTGAACTCTTTGCAGGGATGGAAGTGGTCTATATCTGGATTTGGATTGTGGCTATATGAATCTACGTAATGGCAAACGTATTAAGTTGTACATTTGACTCTCCCTCTCAGGAACACGCCCATGCCTTTCCCTTCCCCCTCTCTTCTTCTCCCCAGGCACATTACCTTTACCTTTCCTTCTCCTAAGCTGCAAGGGCCCTTCTTTTGCTTCTGTAACTTGTTTCCTGAGCCTATGTAGCAGAGCTGGCTGACTTTTACTACCTCTGTAATTTTCTAAATAAACTTTCTCTTATAATTTGATTTAAAAAAAGGTGTACACTTAAGGTAGGGTCACTTAACATACTTTATATGTCAATTAAAAAACTAAAACGAAACCAAACAACAAAAATACAAAAGCAATGGAGGAGATAGTGTCACATGATCCAGCAAGCCCTGTCATGTAACCCCTAGGAAGCTTTCTTACCTCCTCTGTAAGTACATTCTTCTCCCTACCTGCTTTGGCTGTCAGATTAAATTAAAGGCAACAGAGTGGGGTGGTCGTTCAATCTCATTTGTAAATGTATGCTCGACAAAGGCAACACAACACTATCAATCTCAATGAAATCAGGGTTTGTCAAACTAAGAATCTGATTTTTTCTTTTTTTTTAATAAAAGACAGCTTTCTGCATTTAAGACTCACTCTCAAATATATTTACAGCAGCTGTGTCTCTCAGCCTATTAGTCAAGGGCAGGCACTCAACCAGCTGTTTGCTGGATTCAACTTACCTCTACATGATTATTTCAAAGGTCGTGTATATGTTAATTTACTACC